ACCTGAGACCGAGCACTTCGGTCCAATCAATCGACGGGAAAATCAAAAATTCAATTCAATGAGTAGTTCTTGTTTTGAAAATTCCATGAATTTTAAGGTCCACAGATTAACCTTCTTCTTTCAATCCACTTACATTCTCGTGATACATAAATGGACTATTTTTGCCAATACACACATACAATCTTCTACTGGCCCCTTTCCATCAACAAAATGGTAGGCTAGAAAAAGCAACTTCCAACTGTAGCTGTTATTTATATTATTAGCACACAAAGTAAAAAGAAAGTAGTTTGGAGTAATGTTTACATCATTACAACATTTCAAAATGCGTGATGAGAAATAAAAATTGTAACCAGGGTGGTGAAGACTAGTCACTTTATACTGAGGTTACGTAATGTTAGAAACGTTAACAAAACTAGGATGGTAATGATAGAGGATAGAGCCGAATATTAAAATGAATTATACAGCAGGTTAGTTGAGAAAATTATGTCAACTAAAGTCATAGGAAAAATACACAAAGTGGTATTAATAACAGAATATTGGAAACAATTGAACTTTGAGCTATATCCAAGGTAGGCGGAGGGTATAGAGAAGTTTCTTCAGTGTATATGAATCAGGGAGTTTTCCACCTAAGGACTCTACTACGCAAAATTTACAGAATCGTACCGTTTTCAAGAAGCTTCCTGTGACTTTATGAATAACTTTGACTGAATTGTGCTTGTGTCCTCAGTAGCCACTACTGAATATCTATATATATACATCTTCAATTATGGCACTCCTATTGATCCATTGGTACCCTCCTGTAGCCAGGCAGGATAATGTTCTTCGACTCTTTTCGATAAAACATACACAGAACAACCTTTGCATCTCACTCCACCGGAGCAAGTGAACTGGTAAATTCACGCAGAAGTGGTCAGACTCTGTATTTTATCTTTAGAGTTACTGGAGAAAATTAGGCATCATGAGAGTATCAATCTTAATGCAGAAAGAAAGAATGTTCTTTTCAGCGCGTTTAATATCCTCTTCTTTTGAGTGTTGGCCAGGAGATCGCCACATTCATGTATAGGATCTTCTTCAGGACGGAGATATGGATTTTTTTGTTGTTTTTTGAGTCTCCCGTGTTTGCCTATGAATCTTGAAGAATAGCCATTTTCAGTCGATGCCTTCGTTGAAATAGCGATCTCTTCATCTGCCAACTCAGTACTGCAGATTATTTGATTCTCCAACACAAGAGATATTACCAGAATTCTCTTATGACTCACGGGTACCCAACTGTAGAATTCTGTCAACTGGCTGTTCTACGCAGGTTTTCTATATGCTTATCTGTTCAGTGTCCCATAAGACTTCTTTATCAGTTGAACGTCCAGAAACAACTGTTTATTCAGATTCTACTTCAATTGTAAATCTGACAGCTGGTTGGATGCGGGACACTATATAGGTCTCACTATAATGTTGATTCCATAGATACGGCATCATGCTTTCTGTAGATAACACTAGTGGATGCAAATCGGATGCTCAGAGTGCATTTAAATGGAAGCTGTTTTATCTGGGGATTCCATATTCCAGTATTCAGGTTGTTGTCTTCCAAGTATCCGCATAGCAAACAAATCGTTTTCGTAATTAGGAAATTCGTGTAAAATGACTTGACATTGAGTGAGATGATACAATTGTCGTCTACTCTTAATTCTTTAGTACAGTTGATGAATTGAAACATGTCCCGAAGGGATACCTTGAAATTCCTTCCCTGACAGGTTTCGAGAGTTCTTCTACTCATTCCTCAAGTGAATGCCAATGAAATCCAGACATATCCGAAATCTGGAGCAATGGTAATTCCTGTTTGTATGTTTTCAGGCAATATTTAACATTAGCTGATGTAGATTATATTACTTTTTGTTCTTTCACTTTGAGTGGGACATCGATCATCTCACAGACTCCTAACACTTCTACATTATATCTTCACATTTCGTCTGCATTCTGAGTAGTCTTACTAGCCATCAGGAATGTTGTGAAAAATCGATTTCCACACTCTGACTCTGGTTTTCATTGAAAGAAAACATATAGGTTTACTTGTGGTGAGAGCTGGCTGCTAGCCAAATTGGTAGACAATTATTTACGTCAATGTTTATGTCGCAAATATCGGTCGTGAGAAAATATGAACAAAGACTGATTCAACAACCAACTACAGAAGACTTCGCGTAGGCAGAAACAGTTAACATATAGATGATCTGACATTCAAGAAACAGTCACAAAAGGATGCAAGGTCAACTTTCAGTGAGAAACAACCAATCAGAAGACGGTGTTTTTTTTTTGCTTGAATAAGCTATAATAATATACATGAAAATATATAAATATGTGTTGATTTCCTTAATAAACGATCTGTTGCCTGACCCTTGTCTTCTGTTGTTGCGTACTGATTTCTCGAAGGTTTACAGCTACAGGCATTATCTCTCCTCGAAGTGAAAAGTATTTCCCACTTCCAGAAATGAATAACATTAGTCTTTTTGTGCTATGAGGTGTGTTTGCTGGCTCCAGATTCAAACTTATCCTCCTTTCTGGGAAAAGAACCAGTTTCCAAACTAGAGGAGGTTGACTTACAAAACAGTAAGTGAGTTCAAATAATCCCCTGATTGTTCTACTTACTTTATTTCAGTTTTTGAGGGTTAAGAGATGAATTTTTCGAAGCTTATTGCAAGAGAGGTATTAATAATGATATTACAGAGGTATACTAGCTAAAATGTCTATAGACTTTCTTTGCACCTAGAAATTCACTTTTTATTTGAACGTGTTATTATCTCTTTCACATTTATGAAATGACATTTGATTTAATTCAACCTTTTTCACGTTTCCTGAAATGTACGTTCGCTAATTATTCATGTTAACGAATACGTGTTTTGTTAAATCAATAAAAACAAGACAAGCAGTTCAGTAAGGAGTCTCTTTTCTGAGAATTTATTTTCTTTACCTGTATAATTCCATTTATATACAATATTCTATGGCAAGTCTTGTGAATGGTCCACTCAGGTCAACTGTTGATAATTTTGAAATGTGTGTTAGACATATGTGGATGACATTTTTATTAAAACACAAAATAATCGAGCAAAGAATATTCTCTAATGATTTTCATGATGTTAATCTACAGTCACACATATTCAAAAACTGCCCTCCATAAACAAAGTTTACTGTTGAAATAGAAAATAAATGTAAAATTACGTTTCATGATGTTTAACTTACCAGAGTAGTCGACGGAACTTCAAGAAGGTCCATCCAAAGGAAATACACATAAAACGCTTATTGTACAAGATTTTACGGCTGGGTACCAATTTGGTTACAGGATTTTATCGTGAGCTGACATCAGTTAGAGAACCATTGGAAAACCTGAGAGTACTGGACAGCTGTTTTGTCCTAGTTTGGGACTCTTCATCAGTACGCACTGATGTCAGCTCATGATGAAATCCTGTAACCAATCAACCAAATCCCTACAAACCAATATTTGGATACCAATTTGTTGTGAACGAAACTTAATTACTTCTCTTGTGAGTAGCTTCCCACACATCTGCCATCATGAAGCTTTGGAAGAAGAGGCTGGCAGCGAAGACAGGATTTCAGGTAAACATAAAGAACACAAAGCTGATGAAAACGCCTTTTCACCACCAACGTCAGCAATAATAACAACAACAAGCACTCACTCACCATTAACAGGAGAAATATAAACGAGACAACGTCATTTCAACTACACATGGAATGCATGGAGGTGTCTAAGGAGGGATTTGGAAAGCAAGATGCACCTTAATTATTATTCGATTGGGTTCTGTGTGGGACATGCGGCTTCAGCAACACATCTCCACTTTCTTCTCTTTTGACGTCTTCTTCATCTGGATCTAAGATTGACCGTAATCTCTCATCTCCTCCTGCCAACACGATCCCCTCCATGTCACCCTAGAACAACTCATTTTCTGTTATGGAACCACTGTGGAAATCGTCTGAACGCAGCATAAGGAACAACAGCGTCACAGAAAGCATTTCTAACAACCAGCTGTAGACTTTTATCAACAACAGCCTACTCTGGCTCCATAATGAAGATCACAAACCATAAGTAACAAGTCACTCTAGTGACTAACCCACGGAGAACCTTTCGCCCAAAAATATGCAGAAGGTGATGGAAACGGATAGGACAAACGATGAGTAGACTGTCGATTGACATCGCACTCCAGCCATTCTGTAGTGGAATTCGGTTGTTAAACGAAGAGTTGGGCATCAATTCGAGGTGACATGGAGGAGATATTTTTAGGAGGAGAAGACAGCAATATGAATTATCGTGGAGCCAGTCAAAGAAAAGACTTCAGAGAAAGGGATGAAATGGAGATGTGTTGTTGAAGCTCTTTGTTCCACTTACAAGCCAAAATGTGCAATAATACTTGACAAGGAATAATGAATTATGCAGATTATCAGTCTATGTGTGTAAATCTAGTCCTATCTTCGGTGCAGACTGAGTTCTATCAGTCAAGTTTAATTTGACGAACCATCTAATACCAACAATTCACAGTGCACCGTGATAGCGAGCCACCTAGTGACATGGTGGCTACACTGCAAACCTGACTGGAAGAATTCAGTCTGCACCAAATATAGGACCAGTCACATCACACCAGCTACTAGTGTCCAATGAAGGCATCCAATACAGTCCTACAGGAGGTTAATTGTTTAGGGGGTATAGCTCAATAGTATCGTGTCAAGCTGCAGCATTGGATGACGCGGGTTTGAGCCTTAGAAGGTACATGAGTTCCTTCAAAGAAGCACCTTGCTGACTGGTTAGTGCTAACTAGCAAGAAACCTAGATCGAAGGCTTCCTGTGGCCTATTGCCTTCAATCATTTAATACCAACAAAACTGTCAGGCTGTCCAACATTTTGTGAATTAAATAGTGAAAAATCGATAATAGCAATAATATCGTGGCTAATAATCAATACCTCTTCAAACATGAAACACATTATTAATATGAAATGTAATACGGAATACACAGCTTGCCATATGTACAAATTATGACTATAATTAACATAAATATAATTTAATATATTTATCTATGTTTTAATGCTCGTCAAAATATACTTGACAAATATTTCAGTGACTTTTAATCCCACCATTTTTAACCTAATTAAACAATGAATTTCTTGTGCAATACAAACAGAAGTATAATTTATACCTTTTTGGGAATTACTACAATATCAATATTTTTAATATTTATTTATTATCCTATTATACAAAAGTCGGTTTATTCTACAATAAAATATTATACTATCACTGGTATTAATAATAATAATAATAATAATATGAATCTCACAGTGTTAAACAGACAAGAAAATTTACTTACCTGTCGTCTAATTTGTGAAATCGTTGCCGGAGTAACTGACAGTCCGATGAAATATCTCCAGGCAACTAATCATACTTTAATTCCAATAAAATTTACGAATACTACTAATAGTAGTGATTTATCAAATACTACAATATTTCAACATGTAATAGGTGGATCATGGATGTTTAAAATGATTTCAGATCACTCAAACAATATTATTAATAATAATAATGTGAATAGATGTAGTAATATTTCAAAATCTGGTGTAGCGATTATTTTTATGTGTAAAAATAGATGGCCTCAACTTTATGTCACCTTATCGACTGTAATACCACTGCTACAAAGACAACAATTATGCTATCGTATATTTGTCATTGAACCCATTGAACACGGTTGGTTTAATCGAGGTAAATTAATAAATATTGGTTTTATAGAAGCGAAGAAATACTTTGAATTTAATTGTGTTGTATTACATGATGCAGATTTAGCACCACTAGATGATCGTATACCATATGGTTGTGATGAACAAGTGAAACAAATGGCAGTACATTTAAGTGTTGGCAGAAGTACAGAAAATTTTACACTCATGTATCAACAGTATATTGGTGGGGTGCTGAAAATTTCCAATGAACACTTTATCAGAGCTAATGGATTTTCCAATTATTACTGGGGTTGGGGTGCAGAAGATGATGATTTTGAAATACGCTTGAGATATACAAATATTAAATATATACATTTTAACGCTTCAATTGCTAGATACTTGTCAGTTCCACACACTATTCAGTCTCGTGATCGTCTTAAATACAATGGAAAACTTAAAGATAATGCTAGAAGTCGAATGAAAAAAGATGGATTAAATAGTTTGAAGTACAAAGTGATCAATATATCCAATGAGTATTATTTTACACATATCTTTGTGTCGATCAAGAGAACAGGCAAGTTCCACAGTTGTAAATGATAGATTTTTGAAAAAAAAACACTGTACATTGAGGTGTGTTCGTATTTGAACTGTAAAAAACTACCTGATTAATTCAAATGTGATTGCGAGTTGACGTCATTTAGGGAAGTATTGGGAACCAGGAACTAATGGATGGCTGCTTCATTGTTGCTTGCGACTTCTCAGCAGCACTCAGCCATCACAACTTCCATGGTCGAATCCACGACATTCAGGTTAAATGGCGTCTTAATAATCCAATGGGCTATCAGTTCTATCTTGTGTTCTTGGTTCTCGGTATATGGCGCCATATACAGACAGTTGCATCGATGAGTGTCGATTATTTTTCGTTCGGGTTCCGAGTGGAACATAGGGCTTTAACAGCACAACTTCATTTTATTCTGTCCTATTCACTTCTTCTAAAATTGATCTACAACACTCCATAGACTTTCATCTCCTCCATGTCACCCTAAGACGCCCAACTCCTCACTTCCCATCGAGGTTCCACCCAAAGGCTTTACGTAAGATGCCACGGAATGGTCTTCTCACAGTGTGTCCCATATGTCTTCACTTTCTTCTGTGTGTCTGTCGAGTAACATGTTTGTTTGATTGTTTCTTTCCCAGATCTCCAAAGGGATTTCATAGTGTTGAATGGTCTGTCCTGCATTTCCGATTTTGCTTTTGACATCCTCATGCATTCTGCGTGTAAGTGAAATGATGGATCGTAGATGAGTGAAGGAAGCGACCACTTTTACGTTTCTTCCGTTGGTAGTGATTGGCGTTTGCTGTTTTCGGTTGATTGGCTATCCTCATCAGTTCTGTTTTGTGGCAGAAATGTAGGTGGATATATACACGCTCGTCCCAGGGAAATTGTCTAGGTCGACTATCCAATTAACTATTAGAAGAATCTACTTCCAGTCTGTCTGCACACATGGATTCTCAACACTTCTGCATCAAATCTTCTGCCACCTAAACAGCTTTGCAAGCTTCAGATACTGCGTTAACATTACATGTCTCCAGGCTTACTTTTACTTTCGTCGAATGGAGGTACATCGAATGACTGGTTTCTCGAAACCTTTTCACTCCATCCTGGAACTGTTAAGTCTTCTCTATTACAGTATACAGTAAGTATGTTTTCTGTGTGCTGTGAATTTCAGTGGGGGTGTTATTTTTGTTGCTGATGACAAAATACCACATCTCTTCTGCGATTAGGATCAGTTAGTAAATCAAGCAAGGTTGAGCTTCCTCAATCATAAATTCTCATGGCTTCAAGTAGAGCAACTGACGCGAGCCGATCTGATTGATAAAGGAGAGAGCATTCCTGGGTCAATATTTTTGTTTTCTAAGCGCATAAACGGGACTTTTCACTACACCAAGATTTGTGTGCAAATGTGTCCAATAGACTTTACATTATGCCAGGCTCTACCTACGAACACTATATCATGTTCGGATACTCGAAATCCAAGAGACGGTTTCTCGGTCAGTGTCACATCCTGTATTTGATTAGTCTAGAGTTTCAATGATATTCTTATATTATTTAAAATGTGAATTTCTCGTAAGAAATCCGCAGCGATAATCCAAACTATTAGTTGAAGCACAAAAAAAGGAACTCGTGAATTCCAAAAACGCAGGACTTTGTCTATAATACGATGCTGTATTAAACACAAAATAATGAAATTCAAGTGTTGGTTTGTAGGGATTTGATTGGTTTCAGGACTTCATCATGGGCTGACATTAGTTAGAGAACCATTGGAAAATCTGGGAGTACTGGACAGCTGTTTCGTCCCAGTTTGGGACTCTTCATCAGTACGCACCCTATGGGATTTGAACCCAGGACCTTCCAGTTACAAGGCGAGCTCGTATACCATTAAGCCACTGGGACCCGTTCCAATGGTCCTTGAATTCTAACTTCTGCCAATTCACGACATAGCGCGACCGCTAGCCAATGTCTTCAGCGAGTATTTGTCCATGTACAAAGCTCAAATTGTGAGCTGTCTGTGGCTGAATGTCGTCAGTGAGAGGGAATACTAGAGACACCGAAGCTGTGTCAAAGGCGATCCACACGAAGATTTAAATAGGACACGAATGAGAGACACCAAATAAAGGGATATGACGACACCGTATTCAACAGTAAAGCGTATAAAATTAAGACATATACAGCATGAGACGTTTAACGATAAGAAAAATTTCATATGTTCATTCCCATTTATGCATTTAAATAAGGTAAGAACAACAATTTGTGCAGAATAATATGGCACTTTTAACCTACTTGAAAATATTATATGATGTCAACTGTCAGGAAGTTCCGGACTCAGTGAACAGTGCTCAGAAAATTTCGCTTATAGACTACTTACACGAACACTTAAAGTTAAAACAAAGTAAATGTATGCATACAATGGTAGAGGAGTTACATAATAAGCACTAGAGGTGCGTTAGATAATGAGGAATTAATAAATTGCGTAACAATTGGGTACTGAGTTCAACTCAAATCATAGAAAGAAGAGACAAGCGAGATTATACCATATCAAGTTGAGGGTGGGGGTGAGGTTAAAGCCATAGATTACGTGGTCAGACGAAAGGGAGAATAAAAAAGACATCCAGTTACCAGGATGGTCAAGGAGAGACTGATAACTGCTTCTTCTTCTGTCTGAACACACAAATCGAGTTTCAGGCGCTTGATAGAGATTGTTTCGACGAACTTGAGGAGAATCGAGCTATTCTGTCAATTGATAATTTTAAAGGAATTTGCGATTTCCACCTCATGATTTCATGTACCAAGGTGATGTCTGGTAATAGCGCTATTGTGAGCTTTGTTTCTATTGTAACGTAGGCTTTTCGGTACGTCTTCGGAAAATGGGAGGTGTGCCCTTCTTTCCGTTCTTCTAATGTAACACAATCGAAGACTTACAAGCGAAAACCGACAAACTGGTCGAAGAAGCAGCAAAGACAGGACTCCAAGTAAACATAGACAAGACGGAGGTTATGAAAATAACCAACCAACAACAGCAACAACATCCAACGTCAATCACCATCAACGGGAGGGATTTGAAAGAGGTTACTTCATTCACTTATCTAGGGAGCATTGTCTCAACTACAGGAAGTCGGAACGGACGAGGATGTCAAATCGAGCGAGAATCGGGAAGGCGAGAAACACATTCATCAGCTTGAAATCAATCTGGAACTCTTCGTCACTCAGTAGGCATCACCAACAAAATTCGGATTTTCAATACAAACGTAAAGTCAGTTCTTCTATACGGATCAGAAACTTGGCGGGTCACAAAGAATATTTCCAAAAGGCTGCAGACCTTTATCAACCAACCACTGTCTTCGCTCAATACTGAAGATCAGATGGCTGGGCCGGAAAGAATCACCAACAAGGAATTATGGGAACAAACAAAGCAAGAACCAATCGCCTAACAAATATGCAGGAGAAAGTGGAGATGGATCGGACACTCACCGAGGAGACCGCTGGGTGACATCGCGCGCCAAGCCCTTGAGTGGAACCCGAAAGGGAAGCGGCGTGTGGGACGTCCAAGGGTGACATGGAGGAGATCGTGTGAAGAGGAGTTGAAAGAATATGGATTAACATGGATGCAGGCGAAAAGTATAGCAGAAGACAGACGAAAATGGAGACGTGTAGTTGAAGCCCTATGTTCCACTAGAAACCCAAGGGAGCAATAATAATAATGATGTAACTGAGCCTGATGGTTCAAATCTAAGTTAGTCGAAGTCGCAAGCCAGTACTTGATTATACCAACGTCATATTCCAAAACCATTTCTGAGGGGCATCAAACAGCTATCAAAGATCTCAAAAATAATGACTAATTCGTCATACTGAGACCTGACAAATGATCAGGGGTGGTGCTGATGCACTAAGACGACTACATAGCGAAAATGCAAACTGTGTTCAGTGACCCGCTAAGGTTGAAAGCTGATGACTGGCAGTACAACAAATAATTTCATGGTGTCATGAACTAATTTAAAACTTTCATGTGGTTCACGCTTTCAGCAGAATGAAATGATTCATTCATCGTGTACACAGCTGGACGTTGACGAATGGGTCCCAACTTCTCCACAAGCCAATTTGATCATCGAAATTATAGGTCTCAGAAGGATTTGATTTTTTGTGTGCCTTTGGGAGGCGATGAACGTGCGGCGAATGAGACACTCGGTGTTTTAAATCATTGTAAGCATTGCTGTCAATCAATTTCTTCTTTAGATGATCCCTCAGTACGTTTGTGATGCGTTTCAAATCTGTATCTTTCCTGTCTTTCTGGTAGTCATCAACTTTAAACCTGAGGTGTAAATCACGAAATCCTTTAAAATGATCAATCGACAGAAAAGCTCATTTCTCCTCAAGTTCGCCGAATCAATCTCTATCAAACGCCTGAAACTCGATTTATGTGTTCAGACGGAAGAAGAAGCAGTTGTCAGTCTCTCCTTGACCATCCTGGTAACTGGATGTCTTTATTATTCTATCTTTCATTTGATCACGTAATCTATGGCTTTAACCCCAACCCCACCCGTTGACATAGTGCGATCTCGCTTGTCTCTTCTTCTTCTTATGATTTCAGTTGAACTCAGTACGCAACTGTCACGCAAGTTATTAGTCACTCATCATCTTATGTACCTCTCGCGTTTATTGCGTAACTCCTCTACCATTGTATGCATACATTTACTTTGTTTGAACTTGAAGTGCCTGTGTGAAAACTATATAAGCGAAATTTTCTGAGCACTGTTCACTGAGTCCGGAACTTCCTGACAATTGTCATCATATGAAATCTGGATGTATGCTAAACATTTTCTGTAGATGAACTTGATAACAATTCATTGAGGCTGTCATCATCATTAGGTGATGAGAAGCCAGTGAAACAAATGATGGTTCCCTTTATTCTGCAAGATTCTTCGTTCTTGCTTTATTCATATACAAGAAACCGATTCCAATACACCATATAAAGCATCAATACATGGTTAAAAAGTAACAAATGTGCTCATGCTACTCACCAGTTGTGAGTAGCATGAACTTGAACACAAATGAAAGAATAGGAAAAGACAGAAGAAGAATTGACAAAAATGAGCATATATCGATATGAAGAGTAAACTAGCTTTGAAATTCCAAGTTCTTCAATCACACACCAGTTTATTTCATTGTCTACTTTTATTTTGAAAGGTGTCAACCAAACTCAGAGGTCAAATACATCAGAAATTTTTGAAGATTGAAAATGCTCACCTCTCATCATTACCATGGAAATGATACGAGTAATCGATAAGTAATCGAACTATTCATATCTTGTGTTTAAATATATATGAATAGACATGATAGTTTCATATTTGTATTGACAATTTAATAAATCTTCGCAGGTTTTACAACTTTTGTTTTATCACTTCTTATTTCCGTCCAATCGGAACAGACGCACATACTTCGGCGCGAAAATGAATTAAATTTTTAAATTAACGTTCTACTGCTAGAAATGAAAAGCTCAATTTAGACATCTTCCCTGGCTAACTGTACAACACATGTTGATGTGATGAAGAAGATTTGAAGCTCAGGTGAATGATTTTGATGTAGTTGTGTTTTTCTGAGCTGGATGGTTTATTTGTAACACTTTCAGTGCTCCCTATTACACAAAAGCTTCAGTGTATACTTCAACTTGAATTCAGCTTTCAATTCGACTGGGACAACCAACGTTCAAATATTAGACAGAGGAAACATCAAGAATGCTGGAGAATTTTTAGAAGCCTGGTATTCCAGTGAATCGTCAATCAATTGGCACATTGACATAGACAGAATTTACCAATCGATAAGCAGGAAATCACACACACAAAAAGGCAAACTTCAGGTCAAGGTAACAATCAGTATAAATACCGGTAGCTTAGAGGGTGTGAAAACACACAAAGAACACCAATCACGTTCCATGTCACCGGGAGAGATGACTACTGAACTCATGGAGAAATCTAAGAGCTCACTTGAAATTGAAGTATGCGCTGAAGATGTCGTCTAGCGTGACAATGAAAGCTTCGCAAATAAACTATCCAGCTGAGGGAACACAACTCCATCAAAAAGATATGTCGTAAAGTCATTTGAAAACAGAATATATAGTTGGAACAGAATTAGGACACATCTGATACATGTATATAGATTGAGAACAATCCTAGTGATAAATTTGATGCTGTCAGCCAAATAACTACCTTAACAAACAAAATTATCTGATGATAACGTGATACATTTCGTAGCTAAAATGTAAACTGCTAGATTCAGTGTTTGAGTTTGATCCATATCAAAAACGCACATGGTAAATTGATAACCTTGCGAGTTCGTCAACAAATTACCAGGTCGCGCGAATATACAATTGCAGATATTCTAATTATGAGGTACTAAATATGATTTCGATTATTTTTTTCCTTCATGTTCTCAGTGTAACATAGGGCTTCAAACTAGTGGCTTGAAGTTTCTGTAGCAGTGTTTAATTTTACGAGATGGGGTTGCTAGCCTCATACCCAACCTCTCGTCTTTACCAGCATTATTTCTGGCTTAGTGACGTAAAGGAGTGCGTCGGCCGGAGATCGAACTCCGGACCATGTGCATAGTCGACGAGCGTCCTAACTGCTGTGCCACCGACGCCTGATTCCGATTATAATTTAAGCATAACCACGTTCTACAATCTGTCGACTGTTGTACAGAGCGGAAGACGAACACCGCTGCACTGAGAAGCACGAGTGAAAACTTGAAGATACATGTTGTTAACGAAATCAAATTTTGAAGAGAAAGTGGAAGTGTGTAACCCCGCAAAATATATAATGTAACAAACAAAAACCAATGTTCAATAATACAATGGTAAATATTCGACAAGCATATGTGAAATTAGTTTCTGTATACGTAGAATATGGGTACATAAGCGAGTTTTATAAGCGTAGTTGCAGTTTATATATGGGCGCTATAAAACATCATTAAAAATTTCCCATTGTCAAGATTAAATCAAAACATATAAGCGGACAGTGTTGTTTTTAATTTAGATCTTCTTTAAGCTGTACTCTAATTTACATAGCTTTAACCAATGTCAGTGAGTTTGCGTATCGTTGATGTTAGATGGTTGGAGGCAATGGTCAGAGAGCCTTGGACCTAGTTTTCGTGCTAGTTGGCACTCTCCAGTAGGCAGAGTGTATCCGCAACCTCGACGGAACGCATGTCCCTTTTGAGACTGGAACCCGCGTCACCCAGTGCTTCAGTTTGTGGATCAAAAATAATATTAAGTGTTTTGAATGCGGGTTATAACAATGATTATGGTGTAACGACAGAAGACAAAGGCCAAGCAATAGATCATTTATTGAGAAAATCAACAGGCATTTATAGATTTTTATGTACATTATTATTTGTTATTGTTAGCAAAGAGGTAAAGTCTTCTGAGTGGTGGTTTTCCTGCTCCCGACCGAAAGCTGCTACCTTGACGTGGTGGTCGGGCTTGAACACCGCAATGATCTATTCAAGCTATACTGGCTGAGACTTATGTCTCTTGAGGTCCTACCATGCCAGGAAGGTTGTTTGGATAGCGGTTAAACAAAAAGCAGCTACCCCATCCAATACCATGATTCAAACAAATTCACAAAATTTCATGCCGGATCGGCCGTGACCCGGATTAACAACGACCGCGCTTCCTGCTGCCGTGTCACAGGGCAGGAGTGATAAGTATGCTACTGAGGCACACCAAACAAAAAAGAACAAACAAAAACAGGCCGCGTGTGACCGGCCTCAAACAGTTGTCCCCTGGGCTCTGCGGTCACGAAACCAACTTCCACGGTGTGGGCAGCCGGGAAGTAACAATCGCCCTCACAATCCGAAGCGCACGCGAAACCTCTCTATTACTCACTCATCTTTGTTTTCATCTTCATCTCTATTACGTTGCCTTCCTCCCACTGATGCAACTCCTCGACTTGATAGCTCTCCACTTCCTCTCCACTCTGCATCCACTAAAAACGATGGAAGCCAAAAAACCACCACCATCGACAGCCTCTTAAAGCCACGCCACCAATTTCATATAGGAGCTTAGGTTTTCCTGCTGAAGGTTATTTTGTCATCTCTTTGTGGACGTTTCTTAGACAGTTCAGTGATGCATCTGCTAATCGTATCCGCCCACGCTAAGTCTGCTGTGATTGGTTGTTGAGTTAGTCTTTAACCTTGGTTTTTTCTCATGACCAAGGGAGAGACAAAGGTGGAACAAACTTCTTTAGTATACAAAGACCAGGACAGTTCTCTTGAATTCTCACAGCTTCGACTCAGTGTAAAAGGCGGGATCGAATTTCATTCGAAAGGATCTATGCAATGTAGAAGGTGGTCTTGAAGACACTTTTTCTGTTCACTTGGAGACCGCTTTCAAACAAAAAAGAGGCAAAATAAGGCTTCCTATAGATTTCATTTGGTCTTTTCTGAACTATGAAGAAAGAAGCCCAACAAAGCATTCTTTGATCTATTAGTTAGCTGTTCACCCTGTATAGCTTCCTCCGTAGGAGCAACTTGACATAAAAATGCACATAGAAGTAGCACAGCTAGACAGCTTGTCATTTTGCTCGACCAATCATAACTGGTCAGTTGGGAAATAAAAAACAAAGAGTGATAGCAGTATAGGTCCGTTTTATGGCTCTGGATATTCTTAGATGTAGGACCTCACTGTCTGCATCCCCATTGAACTGCAGCTTATGGAGAAATTCGTTCTTTCCAACCGTTGTCGGTTTCTCTTTGTCATATACAGCATTCATGCGTCTCCTTACACATCTACTAGGGAAACATTTTGACCAGAGTATTTTGGATCTATCCTAATTCATTTTCTTGGGCGTTATAGGTACAGATCCCACCTGCCCTTTTGTGAGGTATCTGACCAAACCGACTTTGTATCGGATTGATAGGTAAATAGGTGAAAAAGGCTTAGTCCATTAGGGAATGTAGATGATACCATGCTTATATCTAAAACTTCTCTATTGTCAGGACTTCTTGAAAAGTCACAAGGGATTGTCATTGTTCACCTGAAATTTTTAAGGACAAGTCTAATTTGTTTCCTTTCACGGAACCGTCGATATGCGTACGTTCAGTGTATAACGTTGTAGTTATATATCAGAAGTAGACTTTAGTCAGTTGAGTTGCTAGTTAACACAGTCTGTAATATAATCAGGTATCTCCTCTCCAAAATAAAATTTGAGAATAACACACATTTCGAATTAGATTCCAACAGACTCTACCCCCAATATACCTAACTTATGAATTAAAGACAAATCACAGCGAAGTGACAATAGGATAATAAGTTAATGCAATTGGTCATTGTAGTAATAATAATAACATCAGCAAAATATTAACACAATGTTTGAAGAATGCAGTTAAAAGACCATTCAATGCAGTAGACCTGCTCTGTCGCTTAACAACCACTTCCATTTTACTTTTGACAAATAAGGATAAGCCGCCTAACTTTGCCTCGTCAATGTGGATCTGCCAGATTGACTACTCATGTGGAGGAGCTAGCTACACTAGGCGTAGAATTAGGCTGGTTCATCATCGTATTTCCAAACATCATCCTGCAGGATGGTTAAGCAAGGGACAAACAAGACCTATTCGTAGCTCTGTCTTACCCCACCTTGTAGATAGTGACCATAATATTGACGTTAATACAGCATTTAAAATCATTTATCGCATTCCTACTAATCCTAATTTTCCTCTACGAGTTCGTCTTCTACATACAGCTGAAGCAATAGGAATCTACCTGAAGAAGCCAAACCTGTGCGCTCAGAAGAAATCTGTCCAGCTGCTTTCCTCACCTTCGCCATCGTTGCATGAATGTATAAAGCGAATTAATTCGCCCCCTTACCCCTAAACCTTTAAAAATTGTAATTGTTCGAATTATTTTATTCTTGCGACTACTTCAGCCTTACCTACAAGTTATCATTGTCCAAATTGCTTTATTTTTTTTTAAACAATCTGTTACGCGGTCAACTTGAGCACACACTTATTCCTTAATTACTCTTCATTTTTTTTCAAAATCATGCATTACACTATCATGAGTTTCAACCATTTTTACCCCTTAATAGTGTGTATTAATTTTCTGCGTTAATTATCACCTCATTGACATATTGATACTGACTAATTATTGTCAACAAACACATCGTCAGTAGACTGGTAAAATTTTCTGTATAGCATTAAAAAGGCTATATATATTTGAGTAAAGAAACAGATGAGGATCTTAGTGAAAAGTAAATATTTCTCTACTCACTGCTTTTACTTTCTAAATGAGAAATTTTTTTCGCGTATGGTAATAGTTGTCCGATTTCTGAACATCATCTTCTGGGGTTAGGCAAGAAATAGCCAAGGTCTATTCATAGCTCCCTTTTTTAGCTTATCTTATAGATGCTGAACACAAAATCAATGTTAACAAAGGCTTTTGCATCTACTTATCGTATTCCAAGTTATCTCAATTTTACATTAAGTTCACCCTGTCCATATACCTGAAGCCGTTAAAATTTCACCTGAAGAAACTGGAACAATGTATTCAGAATAAGTTCATACAAAGACAAAACACTGGAGTAATTTAAGGCAATGAAGGTACAGTAAAAATACGGAAGAGGAATTAAAAGTAAATCAGGGGTGCTGGTAGCAGTATAAGTCAGCTGGATAAGCCTTAGGATGATACCAGGGGAAGGAATAATAGCTAAAGCATTTTTTCAGGTTGCAGTTGACCCAGGACACAAAAATTTTGTAATGCTAACACAGATTCTTTTAATTCATTATTAATGAAGACAAAGTTTAGCAAGGTAAGAACAGCAACACTTTAAAAAAAACACTCATGGCAAGGACGTTCATGAAACCGATACCTTGTTTCCCTACAAAGATTTTCATTATAGCATTATTGATCCGTTGTCCTACTATTTTGTCATCCTCTAGAGCTGGGTCCACCATTCTCCATATAATTACATCTCCTCCTCACACAATCACATTCATACCAACCTCAAAGCGACACTCAACTTGTTGTTACTCAGTCAGGTTCCACGCTAGCGATGTTATTTGACGGTCTCCTCAGCGTGTGTCCGACATACCTTCATTTCCTTCCGTATATTTCTTGTGCACTAGTTTATTGATTGGTTCGTTCACATAGACTCTTGTTGCTAATTCTCTGAATGGCCAGTCACCTGATCGTCAGTATGCAGCCAGTGAAGGCAGCTGTTGTGAAAAGTCTCCAGTGGCTCGTTGGAAATGCCTTTCGTGACGCTGGCGTCATTATACAAGAACTGACTGACTTAACATTGGTGTTGATAATCCAAATTTTTTTGTTTGTGCTGCTTGAAGATTTCTAAACTGCTTTCAAACTGATGAATGTCTGACTTGCCTTTTCGATTCTGGTTGGTTTTGACATCCTGCGACATCTGCGCCACTTATAGTCAAAACACCTTACAAAGAATTGTTATATAATTCTACTAAGAAGAGATTTACAAAATATTTTTGAAAATTTTGATACTACTCACAAGTAACTCATGTTCATTCAAAACCTAATTCTTTTACTCGGTAGAGGTAAGAAATTCAAAATTAACCATAGTCACTCACATTTCATTGAGCTCAAATCAGTTAGAGAACCACTGGAAAACCTGGGAGTGCTGCACAGCTGTTTCGCCCTAGTTCGCGACTCTTCATCAGTACGCACCCACTAGGGTTCTAGTGGGTGGGCAACCCTGACCAGAAGGGTACAGCAGGTTGAAGGTGATGTAGTAACTCAACGGAGAAGTGGTCGTGCCACGCCATGAATTGGCAGAAATTAGAATCCATGATCCAATGGACCGGGTCCCGGTGACTTAATGGTTTATGAGCCCACATCGTAACCAGAAGGTCCTAGGTTCGAACACTGGTGAGTGTGTACTACTGAAGAGTCCCAGAGTGGGACGAAACAGTCGTCCCGTACCCCTAGCTGGTTTTCCAGTGGTTCTCTAACCAATATTAGCTCATGATGAAATCCTCCAACTAATCAAACGAAATTCCCTACAAAACCAATACTTACATTTAAATGCTAATCGAAGACTGTAAACCAATTACTCTTAAAGTACCTCAAACTTGAGTATGCAATTTATTATTATTAACTTTTTTTTCAATACAGAACTACCTGTCATTCACCAGTGAAGAAACTGAGCAACTTCTATCAATTTCCAAATGAAATAGCTAACTATGATTTACTTTCTTTTCAAAATTTCCGGATAAGATAAACAGTTAATATATAGTGTCTTTAAACCAGTAATATGCTTGATATTGAACGGTATTCCACTAGAGCGGATTAGGTGTTCAGACCACAATTATTAAATGTTTAGGATTACTACTATCTAATAACTTCTAACTTGATATTTAGAAAGAAAATTACGGTGTGTAGCTTATAGACAAACAGCTTAATACATATTCAGTTGAAGTTTTACGGGCATAGTTAAATCAACAGCGATTCAATGAAGAAGAAGAAGAAGAATCTACAGAATAATGGTAAATCACACTAAACAGGATATTTTCCCTGATTTGACCTAAAAATATCTTCAAATATTGGTTTTGTGTGGATTTTGTCTGATTGGTTGGTGGATTCCATCATGTGCTGATATCAGTTAGAGAACCATTGGAAAACCAGCTAAGAGTACTAAATAGCTGTTCGTCCCAGTTTGGAACTCTTCATCAGCACAAAGCAACTAGGGTGCGAACACAGGACCGTCTGGCTACAAAACTAGCGGGGTCGTAGACCACTTAATTCACTGGGACACGATCCAGTTGCTGATGAATTCCCACTTCTACCAATTCATAACAGCGTGACCACCTCGTATTATCTTGTGTTCGAACCTAGGTGGGTGTGTACTGTTGAAGAGTCTCAAGCCAAGACGAAATAGCTGCCCGTACTCCCATCTGGTTTTTCAATGGTTCTCTAACTGATGTCAGCTCCTGATGAAATCGTTCAATCAATGAAACAAAATCCCTACAAAAACTAATATTTGAAAATTTTCCAGACCCAAACAAGTCCTGGATGAAAAACTTCGACCGGAACAGGCTGGATTCAAGAGAAACAAGCCATGTATTGATCAAATAGCCACACTGCGGATCATCATTGAACAGAGCTTGGAATGACAGTCACCTCTCTATCTCAACTCCATCGACTTTGAAAAGGCCTTCGACAGCGTCGATAGAGAGGTGGTTTGGCAACCACTTCGCTACTACGGGGTGCCACCAACAATTATACATCTCATCCAGCAGTTGTACGACAATGCTACATGCCAAGTAATCCACAACGGGAAACTTACAGAATCCTTCGGAGTGAGGCAAGGATGTCTACTATCGCCAATCATTTTCCTGATTGCAGTAGATTGGATAATGCGACAGACAGCGGCCACCAACGAGGAAACAGGCATAAAATGGACTCACACAAAAAACTTGGAGGATCTGGCCTTCACCAATGATATATGTCTGATTTCTCACAAACTGGAAGATATGCAAGTGAAAAGCAACAAGTCGGCGATAGAGGAAGCATCAAAGATAGGACTTCAGGTGAACATAGAGAAAACAGAGGTAGGTGATGAAGATTCCTGGCCAACACCAACAGCAACAACAGACAACAATCAGCATAAATGTGAGGAATTTGGAAGAAGCAACCTTCTTTACCTACCTACCTGGGAAGCATCGTTGTGGAACTGATGAAGCTATAGAATTGAGGATTGGGGAAGCAAGGCAAGCTTTCATTACTCTCAAGTCTGTGTGGAGGTCAACAGCACTCAGCATCTAAAATAAGATCCGGATTTTCAACTCCAATGTGAAGTCAGTCAGTGCTACTATACGGATAAGAGACTTGGCGCGTCATAAAGAGCATCTCAAACAAACTACAGACCTTCATCCACAGCTGCCTTTGCTCAATATTTAAGATCAGATGGCCAGAAAAGATCAGCAATAGGGATCTCCGGGAGCGAACTAATCAGGAACCGATTGTGCAACAAATAGGCAGGAAGAAACGGATGTGGATTGGCCATACTCTGAGGAAACAATCAAGTGACATCACTAGACAAGCTATTGCTCGAGTGGAACCCGAAAGGGAAGCGGCGAGTTGGTCGTCAGTGCAAAGGTGACTTGGAGGTCACGTGAAGAAGAGATAATAGCATGCGGGCAGACCTGCAGCCAGGTGAAAACTTTAGCAGAGACGTGCAGCTGAAGTCCTATGTTCCTCTAGGAATTAAAGGAAATAATAATATAATAATAATTAAATTCTTATATTTTTCCATGTTACTAGTCAATCTCCCGCACATTTCTGCTCATTAAACTTCTTATGAACCTCTTTTTCTCCCATATATATATATATATATATATATATATATATATATATATATATATGGATTATGGGTAGACGAAGAGGTTACTAAATATTGGTTGTTACATACAAAATTACACATTATGATTCACATTGCCTTAGAATGCTTACACAGATAGGAAAAAAGGTAGTCGGGGATAGAGTTAAGGCATAAATAAAAAGATAGGCACCAGTGGCTCAGCGGTTGAATACTCGCTAACCACGACTCATACGGTTCAGGATTTGATGCTCGGCCGGTAGCGCACTCGTCAACCTTGCTAAGCCGGTAGTAAGGCTGGTAAAGAGGGAAGTGTATAGGCGTAAGGCTGTCAACCCTACCCCGTGGAAATAAACACCACTGCTACCGAAACTGCACAGCACTATGCTTCACTAGGAAAGTAAAGGAATAGTAATAATAATAATAATAATAATAAATGAAATCAAATAGAAAATATATTTTCACTAAAAAAAAGAAAACAATATGTACACAAGATACAGCAATAAAGTCATAAATCACTTTCCCAACTGTACATAATTTTCCAAATCAGGAACAGCTAATATCGTTTGTTCTAAGTGTCCTACACATTCTAGGCAAACCACTTCAGGATTATCTTGATTGACAATTACAACATCCTAAAAATTAGGAAGAGAGAAGCAAAAAAAAAACAACAGAAGTAGGCTATTAGAATTAAATACACAGAGTACAACTTTATTTAATTCAATTTTAGAATTTTCCTGTCGATTCATTGGAAAAAGAGTGCTCAGTCTCAGGTTGACATGTCGGTTGCAGATGTGTAGATGCTTCGACGATGTCTGGGCATTTAGTATTTGATTGGTGGATGGTGACTAGCAGTGGAATCCAGGACAACGCGCATTTCGTCCTATTTGGGACTCGTCAGCTAAGGGATGTACGTACCTGCATTTCTCAGTAAGTGATGATGTTCCCACCGAGGCACCAACCCAGTGCCCATAGTTTCAAACACCAAAGCGTTATCCACTAGACCACTTGGGCCACTAGAGCCACCTCTTGTGCAACGGGTCACATTAATTTGATTTAATTTTGGATTTTCCCGTCGATTGATTAGAAAAAATTGCTCGGTCTCAGGTTGACATGTCGGTTTCTTGTACAGATGCTTCGACGACATCCGGTCATGTAAATTGAAGTCCACTGATGGATGGTGACTAGTAGTGGAATCCAGAATAGGACCCGTTGCACAAGATGTTGTTGTCATGGCTCAAGTGGTCTGATGGATAACGATTTGGCGTTTGAAACTACGGTACTGGGTTCAAGCCTGGGTGGGAACACCATCACTCACTGGGGAATGCAGGTACATCCAGATGACGAGTCCCATATAGTGGATTCCACTGCTAGTCACCATCTACCAAGTGACTTCATAGTACAACTACGTTATAGATAAATATATGAAAAAGAAGAATAGATGAGGAAGTTATCATAAACAGGGAGTATACACAGACCTACAGAAGATCTCCCAGTAGCAAACTGTTAAACTTGGATGGAACTCATACGATTATGTCTTACAACACATTTCTAACCCAATTATCAGATATACGAACAGGTATAAAAGGAACACCAGTGGGATATCATCGCCCATATCAGCACTAACGGGTGAAATCGTTATGCAAAGATTAAAATTAATACTCTTACCACCCATAATCAAATCAAAAATCCGGGTACGTTATGTTGATGATACATTTGTCATAATTTAAAGGAAATGTGATTTGGAATACACCCACAAATTAATCAACAACATATTAAAAAAAAGAAATTAAATTTACTAGAGAAGAAGAATTAGACAACAAAAAATTCTATCTTTGTATTTCTTAAGCAGGAGAACTAAAAGAGGAAATTTAGAAATACAAGTATACACACACAGATCAAATACTCACCTATAAAATCAATATAACCCAATGACTCACAAAACAAATTGTGTGCAGACATTGTTTAAAAGAGTTCAAACACACTATTGCACTTCAATGCTAAGGAGAATAGAAAAGAAGTATTTACTAACTGTCTTCAAGAAGAATGAATACCTATACAACTCCATCAAAAATTGTTCAAATCGGAATTGTAATATCAATGAGCAGTCTAAACTGGTCACCAACTCAGTTTCAAAGAAAACCTTATTCCTGAACTTGGAATTCAAAAGTCATCAAGCTTCAGATATGCTCAAAAATCGTCCCTCTAAATCAGTCAGTAAGACGTTCTTTGCAGCAAAATTACATATGACTTTCTCGAGCCGCAAATTGTTCTCTACCTCTGTAAAAGATAAGCTCCCCATCTGACCACCTCCGTGTGCATCTATCAGTTCACCTGCTCTTGTGGAGCAAGGTACATTGGCCGTAGTCAGAGGACGCTTTCCACACGGATACGAGAACATATTCCAGTTTGGTTTTACAAGGAAGAAATGAAGTGCGTGCGAAGCTCTATTCTGGAACACCTGATCGATTTCTATCACTCGGTCAACGCTGACCATGATTTCAAGATCATATATATAATCCATGCTAACTTTCAGCGTTTTATTCGCTACAGACTTCTAAAGACAGCTGAGGCCTTGGCAATTCATGACATTAAGCCAGACCTTTGTGTACGAAAGAGGCACGTACAATTCCTACTTCTGCCTTGGCCGTAGAGGGATAGACATTTATTTATTTTGTTTATTTAATTATTCTATGTACTTTTCCCATATTACTACGATTATTTTTATTATTATTATTATTTAAAACAATTAGTTCCTTTTATAAATTTTGATAGCGTTATTAGAAGACGGAGACTATCTGAAAAATGTGATGTATTAGCGCTATACATTTCGAACAATCTGATCACACATTTACTTGTCAAGTCAATATATATAGAAAGGTTAAATTAAACAAAGTGAGAGAAAACGGAATTAAGAATAATTAACACAAACGTTTGGTAATCCAATCAAATAAGGATTACCAAGGTAGGTTAAGAGTAATGACGAACTGTTTTTGAATACACAAGGGGGGCTTAAGTCTATGAATAGCTATAGCCTCAGCGTATTTCAGTAAACGCCCTTGACCGTTTTTATAGATGACCTTAAAGGCTGAGTTAACATCAATCTTATGGTTCATCTCGATTAGATGTTTAGCTATAGACGAATTTGGTAGTCTACCACCTGCATCTATTAGCTTGTCACAATTCATCTGTTTTTCTAACCATTTTGGGATATGCTCTCCCACCCTCACGTGCAAAGCGCGATTACTCCTCCCTATGTATGTATGTCCACACACACATGAAAATTGGTAAATTGTATGGGATGTGATATAATCACTTGTGCACTTTTGGGGTTTACAGTGAAGCATATTTTTGGCTTTTTCCACAATTACAAGCTGGGCTGCATAGTAGGTTCTACGGATGATTGAATTCAACCTTTGTCTCACAATCCTACTGTTTATTTCCCCGTTATATGGTAATTTGATAAAAACCTTTTTCTTAGGGACGGTATGGATTGTAGGTTTAGAGGCTAGTTGACTTCTACACCTGTTTAAAAATTTCAAAGGATATCCGTTTTCAACAAGAGTATCCATTAATATTTCGTTTTCTCTGTCCATAACATCAGCCGTGCAAATACGCTGAATCCTCTTGAATAGACACTTCACCAAGCCCCTCTTATACTGTAATGGACAGAAGCTGTGAAAATTAAGGTATTGCCCTGTCCAAGTGGGCTTTCTGTAGATAGACCGTCTTATTGAGCCATCATCTCTTCGACTCAGAAGTATGTCTAAAAATGCTAGCTGGTTGGGACTTTCTTCCTCACATGTAAGACTAATATGATTTTGTACAGAGTTAAGTCTGTCTAATAGGCGACTCGCATCTTCATGATCGTCACATATCAAAATGATATCATCTACATATCTCCTATAAAAGGGCAATTTTGAAATTAAATCAAGGGATAAGTTTTCAACATCAGATTGTTCGAAATGTATAGCGCAATACATCACATTTTTCAGATAGTCTCCGTCTTCTAATAACGCTATCAAAATTATCATTATTATTATTACTATCCTCACTCTGAATCCTTTCCACTTGACACACTTGTCATTTTAAACCCAAAATTATTAATTTTTATGTTTTTTATTTTTACAATATTGAATTCTATCTTACCAGATTTCACACCATGTTATGCAACATTTTATATTCGTCTACTGATCTTATAATTATGTATGCCTTTCCAAAATCTATACCCCTTATGTATTATTCTATATATGACACTCATTGTTTTGCTACTTGACATTAAACCATGATTATAATCACAAATAATTGGATTACATTTCATACTATTATTATTTCATGTATTCACACCTTTGACCTAATTCCCTCACCGGATATAATTTCTTAAAAACAACCCATGTATATATGATTGTACAGCTTGATAATAAATTCGTTGAAAAGAGTCTCTTCGATGAATATTGTGTTCTTAATACCGATAAGAGACAATCCATAAAATCCACAGGAAAATCCATGCCACCATATTATAAGGAATATCTTTCAAATAACGGCTAGAATATTAAAACCATTTGAAATAGACATAGCACAGAAACAAACACAATCTCTTCATTCAATATCATGCAGGCTAAAGGACTCAACAGCAAGAGAATGACGATAAGATCAATATCATTTACAAAATCAACTGCATGAACTGTGATAAACACAAAAGTGATCAAGGTGGGCGTTCACTTCGATTCTGATTCGATGAACATAGATTACCTATGAATAGACACAATGCGTATTCTTTCATATCGACGCATGTAGATAATTATAGACAACGATTTAATTGGGAGAATGTAGGAATTTTAAACAGTGGAAACATTGAAAACCCGAAGGAATTTCTAGGAGCCTGGTACTCACATAAAAATCAGCGATTAGCCGAAAAATTATCATACATCATATTAACTAATTAATAGAGAATAAACCACATGGCGAAGAGAATCAAGTCCCAAGTGAATATAAATGATCAATAGAGATGTAAACGAACCAATCACGAAAACGGCAGTCAGGAGGAGATACAATGACATCATTCATCCATGGGGAATTCAAATAATTTCATTTCGTACGAAACCTTGAGCCCAAGATGTTGTCTAGATGGGAGATAACGATCGCTTCGCAATTAAATCAACCAGCTTCTCAGGCAATAAAACTAAATCAAAATTGCCAGAAGTTAGAATTCATGGGTCATTGGATCGGGTCCCAGTGGCTTAATGGTATACGAGCTCGCCTTGTAAACAGAAGGTTCTGGGTTCGAATCCCGGCGGGTGCGTACTGCTGAAGAGTCCCAAACCAGGACGAAACAGCTGTCCAGTACTCCCAGGTCTTCCAATGGTTCTCTAACTAATGTCAGCTCATGATGAAATCCTGTAACCAATCACCCAAATCCCATCAAACCCATACTTGAAAACCAATACTTAAATCGAAATGAATGGACAGTTTTTCATTCGAATATCCATGACTTACTTTTCTGAGGGATTGAGATGTCGTACTACCAATTACATTTGTGTTTATCTACGGCTTAAATTCCTGAGGCTTTTCGAAAATATAAGACAGTGTGTGATTCGTCTAATAGAGCTTGTTATTGTTCCGGTTACCGTTTTTCCCGGTCTGACTTTTGTGTCTATCCCAGTGTGAGAAGGGGCGCGCGGGTACTTTCAAGTAATCAGCTGGTTATGATGCCGTACCTGGCAGCGCATTCTAGTCAAGTGAGATGATAACAACCACAACACAGTATCATTCGGTTGTAATACATTTTGGCGACGGCGCCATTCATTTCAGTGCAGCCAGAACACAAATACTATTTTGGCGGCAGGTTTAAATTCCTTACCACTTTAAAAGTGAAAACATCGCAGGTTAAAATAAACCACATCTTGGTATGATTATGAGCCAAAAAAAACTATGCACCAAACAACATCAATAAATGCATAATACTGATGCCATATCAAGAGGCACAGAAGACGGGACTTTGAATGAACAGCGAAAAGACAAAGGTGATGAAGATACCCAACCTACAACAACAAAAATCAATCTCAATCGGTGGGAGATATCTGAAAGAAGTCACTTCTTCCGCTTATCGAGATAGCGTTATTTCAACTACAGGAGGCATGAATACGGATGTCGGATGTAGGATCGTAAAAGCTAGACAGATCTTCAGCAAACTGACATCAGTGTGGAAATCTGCTGTACTCAGCATAAGAAACAAGATTCAGAGAGATTCAATAATAATGTCAAGTCAGTCACTGCTTCTATATATTTCACACACTTGGCGTGAGCAAATTGACCGCTTCACTTATTTGGGAAGTACCATCAGCCAACGCCAACGGGTTGATCTCTGAAGAAATTTCAGCTGAGTACGGATACAGAGGGCTAGTTTCGACTATGCCAGTTTACTCCGTCCCTGGCGTAGACGAAATATCCGACTATCTATCAAAGGGCGGGTGTACTGCTCATCAGTCCGCTCCGTCCTCCCCTATGGCTGTGAGCGAGACATGGCTGTTGAGAGTGGAAGACATGAAAAGATTAACTGTCTTTGATCATAGGTGGATGCGCTCTATCTCCCGTGTGAAGTGGTATAATAAAGAGAGCGATATTGAGGTTAGGTGTCGAGTTCTAGGTAAGCAGGGGAAATCATTCGACGAGGCTGTGAAATTACATCGACTGAGATGGTTAGGATATGTGTTACGTATGTGTGCCTAGTCATCGCCTTCCTCGACAATGGGCAATGTTAGCTGATATAGGGTCAGGCTGGCGAAGAGCTAGCGGCGGTCAAACCAAAACATGGCACCAGTCAATGAAATCTACAACAGTTACTTTAAGCCAGTCAGCCACAAAGGGAGGTGTAGACTTCCTGGTTGGGATCTTCGGGACGGTTAAAACCAATGGCTGGAAACAATTGATGATATGGCTTAAATTCGTTCTCAATGGCCGAGGTAGATGCATCCACTCCCTGTGACCTATGATTCCCAATGAAACTATGTCGTTCTTCGTTATTACTACTATTCCTTTGTCTCACACCTCTGTTTACTGTCTCTAATATGCATTTCTTCTACTTTTTCTCTTGCTTTGTGTGCTACAAGGAGGGAGTGCGGCGACTTGAACTGCCGCACATCGGTGCGAGTTCTATGTCGAAAACAGACAGACAGACACTTAGCGTGTCACCGAAACCATTCCCAATAGGCTTAAAACTTTCGTCAACGGCTGCGTTTGCTAGCTCTGTATACTAAAGATCAGATGACCAACCGGTCAGAAAGGATAAAAAACAAAAATTCTCTGGGAACGAACCAACCAAGAATATATTGCCCGACAAATAAGCCAAAAAAGTAGAAATGAACTGGAACTACACTGTGGAGACCATCCAGTGATATCATGTGGCAAACCATCGACTAAAACTCGAGTGGGAAACGACGAATTAAGCCTCTGAGGGCGACAAAGAGTAGATCGTGTTCGGAGGAAATGAAGGCTTTTATGGGCGTTTGTGAGGTCAACCAAAAACGATTACACAGAACAGACAGGGTGAAATGGAAATGTTCTACTGATGCCTATGCTGCACTTGGAACTCAAGGGGATAATAATGAAATTATACCACCACCTTCCCCGTCCCTTAGTGATCAAATTCTATTTTTTTCACATCTACAGTAGAAGTATATTGATTATAAACATTTTGTTTTACTTTTAAGGGGGAATGAAGTACACACAAGCAACTTACTGATGCTACAGTTAATGGTCGAGGACAAGACAGATTGAAACGAGCATCTCCAACAACCAAGCGTACTTCTTGATTGTCTAACAATTGTATCTTTCCAAATAAACCCTCTTTTATCTGATCACCATCCTGGAAAAATGAAAAGAAAACGGCACATGAGACTTTTTAGGACACAATTATGCTATTCTAAGCCATACAACGCCACAGGAAAGAATGAACAAAATGTATTTTTTTTATTTTATACAGAGCAGTTAATCACAACATTTAGCAGATATACACGCTCTAGAAAATTTACACCTATCAAAACAAGGGAGGGGTTGGTTATCGCCTGAAAGGGGAGTATGTTGAAGACAATGAGCTCTGTTGTCTCAAAGAATAAATTAATATACAATTCAGATAAATATTCGATGAAAGGTTCGACAGAGTGAGTGGTCAGCCAGCTCAGATTGTAACCTGGATGTCTTCGTTTCGATCCCTGATGAGGTTATGAGTGCCGCACAAAGCGCACACTTTCCAGACGCATCTCTGATCACTATCCAGCAAGTTTAGCAAAAGGACAATGAAAGACAGTTACTAGCTTAATTTTTGAGCACATGGTTAACTCAGGTTGTGCAACTCCACCAGTTTAGTCTTTCAAGATTATCTACAGGGTGAAACCAAATTGTACAAAAGGTGTCAGGTTTCCGCATTTGTGTATGACAAAGGCGTTGGTGATTAGTCAGTACAACACCGAACTCTGGATGCAGAAAAAGTTTGTCCAGTATCTTATTCTATCTTAGTCGTTACCTCTTCATCAGTTGTTCGCTGTGAAAAAAAAATTAATTTTTTATTTCTTAATCTTCAATTTTACTTTCAGTTTGCCTTTACTTTATTAATTAATTCATTATTATCACTCTCAAGCGTTGCTTCTGTGCATTTTCTCACCCTCTTCACACTTGTTAAATTAACACTCAATTACCTTGGTTCTCAATCAATAACAATTTAAGCCCTATCAAATTTCCAACGCTTTCTTCCTCTGTGCCGTTGAGTACTACGTAATTTACAACTTTTATTTTCACTTTTGTAGCCACTTCTGAGTAATTATATCAATGGTGTCACCCCCCCTTCACTCATTGATGGATTACCATACATTTTTGATAAAGATAAATACGACCGTACAGCCTCTGAAGGAAGGTGACTTCGTCGACAGAGAAAATTTTCTTCGCTGGATTTGTCCTTTATTTTCTTCACGACTCAATGGATATTTTTGGTGATACAGAAGACAAATCTTCAAAATGAAAGGCTTCAGAGGTGTGAAATAATAATAATATACGCAGCCCAGGAGACAATTGTTTGAGGCCTGTAACACACTATCTGTTGGAAGTGACATCTGCAGTCGTGTCCTTACTCAGATCCTACCGCCAGCTACGGACGGCCACAAGTCAGGATGTACATTTTTCAGGACACACCTTTTCTTACCTCATTGTACTCTCCAGAGCGCAGACGCAGCATAGCTGATATGCTTATCATCTGAGGGAAATAACACCTTACTGCTATTACACATCCCTATTTGCCAGCAGCACAACTTCGCTCACAACCCCCCCCCATAATACAGTGTAAATGGTGCAAGTTATTAGGGTATGTGCCTTGAGCCTAATCACTCACTATCCAAATAACATACTTGGCATGTTACAGTCTACAGAAATCTTAATTTCAGCTGAAGTAGTTCGTTAGGTTATTGCAAGGAAGCAGTTTATCGGTGGAGTGGAAAGTATTCAACTTACCGGTGGTAATAATTTATCCGGTAATTGTAAGGTGAACAATCTGCCTGGACCATTACTTTCAGAGAAGAGGTTGAAAGGGAATCTAGAACTCCATCCATCGGATAAATCCAAGTCTTGAAACGGATCTAACGAGAAATAAAAGACAGTAATGAGAGTATGCAGTACAGTAAATAAGTCTGACAAAGATGGATGAGGCAATATATGCTAATAAGTTGATTTAACACAGAACAGGAATGGATGTCAGCAAGATAACCATTGGAAAATATCAGGAAGTACTGCACCAAAGGCTCGTTCTATTTTGTGACCCTTCAGCAACGCGCACGCAAGGCTTTCAGGGAGATAGAACTCACGACCTATACGTCACGAGGGGGGTTCGTTGACCATAGGAAGTATGCCACATGGATGCACGTTGACAGGAAAAGGCCGAAAACTGCGATCAACATTTTAAGTCAATGGTTGGAAAGGTGAAAGTGTTTATTCCTCAAATCTGGATTTATTTTACGTAGAGGTCTTGAAATACCTTCATTGGACAACTTATCGTTCAAATGTTTTACCTTGGGCCAACCGCTAGCCAATCACGACAGTTCATTGTATACTGACCTGACTGACTTTTATGTGGTTGAATGTGTGTAAATACGATGCATTTTTCTTTGATAAATATAGTCCATCCCCAATTCTCTTGTCTTTTACCGTTACAATCATTCAGTCACCGGGACAAGATTCAACTTTAATTTCAGTCAATTCGCGATTTTTAGCTCCATAGCCAGTCAAATATCATCGGTGAGTATTTGTCCCCACACCCACTTATTAAATAAAACTCCCCTGCATTACTATTTTATTATTATTACTATTATTGCCTTGGGTTCCGAGTGGAACATAGGGCTTCAACAACACATCCCTACTTTGTTCTATTTTCTGCTGTGCTCTTTAGCTGAGCCCACGATTGCCCATAATCTCTTATCTTCTTCTCGTCAAACGATCACCTAAATGTCACCCTCACACAAACGACCCACTCGCTATTTCCCATTCGGATCCCACTCGAGCGACGGCCTGGCGCGCGATGTCTCGACGTTCTCCTCAGGGTGTGCCCGATCCATCCCATTTTCTTCTACATGATTTTTGAGCAATCGGCTCTTGCTTGGTTTGTTGCCACAGTTTCTTGTTGCTAATTCCTTCTGGTCAATTAATCCTCCTCATTCTTAGTCTTGCTCTCACCGAGAGAAGACACATCGGTTGTTTGACTGGCTTCATAGCCCATGTTGTTATAAAGGGTCCGAGATGAGAAGTCTAGACAGAGAACTATATTTAGAAGGAGAAATTAAAACGATCCTTAAGACACTTGACGCAACCACCACTATCTTAAAATAAAAATTCAACTGAAAATATTTTTAAGTGATTTGACCAATAGCAAATAGTAGTGGATTCCAGCACACACTCACACACACTTCACCCTACTTAAGACTCATCATCTGGATGTACCTGCCTTCCCCAGTGAGTGATGGTGTTCCCATCGTTTCCTGTACCAAGGCGTTATTCCGGAGACCAACTGGGCCACGAGAAATACCTCTTGTAAAACAGGTATCGGTTATTATTTTCCTGTCGATTGATTGAACCAAAATGTCCAGCCTCAGTTGACATGTCCCAAATAGGGCAAAATGCTCACCATGGATTCACCGATAGTCACTATCCATGATACTACTTCCAAGTAATCCTCAGATATCGTTGAAGTGTCCGTACTAGGCGCCACTGACATGCCAACACCAATCAAATATTTCGGTCAAATCAAATCAGCAGAAAAATTAAAATTGAATTAGAAACAAATGGAAATATCTTTACTAGTTTCTACCCGAGTCAATGTTTTAATGGCGTGAATTACCCAGAGATCGTTCCCGTTGCAGCATCTCAGATGGCATTGTCTAACCATGTGTTAAAAACGAAGTGATCAGATAATTGGTTAGATCTAACGTAACAGAAGCGCATACAATAACTGACAAGAGATTGAGTACACTGGGAGTTGGAAGAACTTGAAAAACGATCTTTCTGGACGTTCCATATTGAAGTTTGTTACCTGGGTAAAGCATCTAAGCTCAGCAATGAAATCACCCAGCTTAGAGAAGCTAGTCACATTGAAAACAAAAACTTTTTCAACAGAATTCTACTTACACGGAAAAACACAAAAATCTTGTTTGATTCTACAAACATATCAGGACTATTTTAGGTGGTTTCGAGTGCTTTTGGAAGTGTGTGGGTGGTTGTTACTTCCCAGCTGCCCACACCACGGAAGTTGATTGATTCTTCGGGTACCTGGGACAGAAAGTGAGTTAGTGTTGCATGACCACAGAGCCCAGGGGACAACTGCTTGAGCCCGGTCACACACGGCCTTTTTTAACCCCTCTCCGGAGTGGAGAGACAGCATAGCTGACATGCTGGTCATCTGAGGGAAACACCTCACTGCTATTACACCCTCGTCCCCCAGCAGTACGACTTCGCCCTCAGACCCCCAGCATGGTGTAAGAAAGATTCTTACACAATGCCAGTAACTGCTTTCAGCCTAATCGCTATCCTAACAACCTTCCTGGCATGGTAGGACCTGCAGGAACATTAGTTCCAGCCAGTGAAGCTTGTTGGGTCATCGCGATGTGCAAGCCCGACCACCACGTCTAGATAGCAGCTATCGGTCGGGGACTATTTCAGATTAATATATAGCGATTCAGTCAGATTCATCGCTGAAGTTATTACACACAATGGTACAAATATTTACAACCATTATTAGAGATGTATGACAATGTCACATGTCAACTGATCCACAACGGAAAACTCAGCGAAGCGTTTGAAGTGAAGACAGCAGTAAGACAAGACTGTCTGCCTACTATTGTAACAGAAGACAAGGGTCAGGCAACAGATCGTTTATGAAGGAAATCAACATGTATTTATATATTTTTATGTACATTATTATAGCTTATTCAAGCAAAAAAACACAGTCTCCTGATTGGTTATTGCTCACAGAAAGTTGACCTTGCATCTCTCTGTGACTGTTTCTTGAATGTCAGTTCATCTATATGTTAACTATATCCGCCTACGCAAAGTCTTTGTTCTCATTTTTCTCACGACCCATATTGGGGACATAAACATTGACGTAAATTACTGACCACCAATTTTGACTAACGACCAGCTATCACCACACTATTATGGATGATATTTCTGAATCTGATGAACTGGCTTATGCAGCACACTGTGCTTGGGGAACGCAAAATTAGGAATACGGTGGACTGATAAGAAGACTCTGGCACATCTAGACTTCACAGACCATCTATGTACAATGTCACATAAATTCAATGACTCAGCGGAGAAAACCAACAAACTGACTGAAGAGGTTGGCAGTGAGGACAAGATTTCAAGTAAGCATAGAGAAGACAGAAGTGATAAAGATAACTAGCCAACAACAGCAAGCACCAATCACTACTAATGACAGAAATTTGAAGGAAGCCAATTACTTCACTTATCTAGGCAGATAGTCCCAACCAGAGGCGAAAGCACGGATGAGGATGTCAAAGCCAGTCAGGATCAGAAAGGCAAGATACACCTTCGTCAATTTGAAATCAGATCGGAAATCTTTTGGCGCGTCACAAAAGGCATTTCCAATAGGATGATGAATCTCATTAACAGCTGTCTTTATTGGCTCCATGCTGACGGTCGGATGACTAATCAGAGATTAAGCTACGAACTGATCAACATTACATCCCCCAACAAATATTCTGAAGAAAGTGGGTATGGATCAGACACAAGCTGAGAAGACTGTTGAGTGAAATGGCGCATCAGGCGATCGCTACAGTGGTAACTGAAAGCGAAACGACGGGTAGGGCATGGGGGAGACTATGAGAGGAGGAAATGACAGACTATGGGCAATTATGGGGTCAGGTAAAATAATGGCAGAGAACAGGACAAAACTGAGGTGTACTACTGAAGCTTTATGTCCCTCTCGGAAACCAAAGGAATAATAATAATACGTTTAAAATTTGAATTACATCTTTTAAAAACAAAATAAAAAACAATTAAAATTTACCTAAAGTGAAATCTTCACCAGCAGCGGAATCATGCATGATAACTGGTGGATTTTTAAATAACTGTTTAATATCAGTTACAAATGCTTCACATTGATTCAAAGGATTCACTGCGGAGTCAGTTTCAGGAAATTCTGTTGCTTCAGTCTGTGGTAGCACAGCTTCTTTCGTTTCACCTGTCATACATATTTATAATGAAATAAAATAATTTCGCTGAAGAGAGAGGGACAAAGCAGGTGACAAATTGTCAGCAATACACTGTATAGAAAGCAAAGATTTACTTCAATAAATATACATTATAAGAAAACAAAACTATTCGGGCATTTCACTATAGAATTGACGGAGCATAGCAACAATGAGGGTTAAAATTAACAAAGTTTAAATAAAGCAAGAAAAACAGTTTGTGCAAAATAAAGACAGTGCCGATCGATGTGGAAGCTAAATTCGAAAATTTACTCTATTAATTGAATGACCTAATTCCAGTCGATAAGGTCAGGAATAGGTGGTTGACAAATCATAGTAGGCGATAAGCCTACCTTTAATCAACTCGATTTTATAGGTGATAATATTTCAGAAATAGTTAACAGAAGCTTGAATACCTCTACAGGGAGAACTTACCCCCTACAGCTAATTCGGTTCCAGTTTATCGGATAACATGCTCTTCTTTGGTGCAATCAGAAGTCGACAGATACATTCCTCATGTTAACTTTAACTGTCTATACAAAGTTACCCAGTCTTAAGTAGGTGGAATGGAATTAAACACCCAGTACACTAAACCGATAATGAACTGTAAAATACAAGGAGTATTTATTTTCAAGATCCAGAAACCTTAAGGAAAGTATTTATAGGTGCGATAGATTATCGCCGAGAAAGATAAAGATCTAATGTTAAGATACTTTAAGAGATAAAGTGTCTACACATTCCAATCTTACATTTGGTTGGAAGAGGACAATTACATAACAAAGCCCAACCCCAACTTGCAACGCTATCCGCAAAAATCGTACAAAAATAAATTTTTGTCTACTTTGTATTATTAATCCAATCATTCTACTTTAAAGCACTTAAGAAAAACGCTTACATAATTCGACAGCATTTTTATCTGGCTTAGAAACACACCCAATTCCAGTTTCGAAAATTGAATAACTGTGGACAAATTGTGGTCTAGAGCTTTGACACATTGGACGCTGGACATTATTTTGATATGATCTAGTAGATCTTATTTCAGTTCGTGGTCTTGCAGCCTCTGGTCTTGCAAATCTGCCGCCACTAAAAATGCACAAACCAAAGAGTAAGTAAAGTTATGATAAAGCAAACAACACATACTGAGTTTTGTAAAAAAATAACCATATAGAATAATCTGAATTTTCAGTTGTAGAGACAACGTAACTTACAACTCAACTACAAATAAAATGTTAGTTTGATGAGAATTATTTCGTCTAAATTATTTGCTGCAGTAGTCGTTACTCCAATTTTGACACCTCTGTCGACTTTTTCTGTTATCTTCATATAACACTTCACAGGCATCGTTCGCTTTTACACTATATCTATCATGCATAGGTACTATTTGTTTGAGTGCCGTCATCAGGAAACAACAGCTCCCATGGCTTGGACATGTACAGCGAATGTTATCGCAGAGGCAGCCATACAGGTCTCTGTTTGCTAGCCCTGGGACGGGATGGAAAAGGCGGAGAGGTTAGTCCATGACGTGGCGTCGTGGGATGAAGGATGTTTGTGCTAGATTAGCATCGGTTGGTGTGTCACGACTCCCTGGTTGGGGTCCGAGAGATAGCTCAAATCGATGGTTCGAAACGTTATCGGATATGGCCAAGAATCGTAATCAATGGCGAACGTGTTGCAATTTCCTTCTCTCTTCCCTTCCCAATGATAGTTAACGAATACTGTTTGAACTTGTTAAACATGACTGCTATCTTAAGGCTAATTCACCTAAGATTGCTAAACTATTTGATGAGAATAGATATAAGACATTACATCATAGTATGTCAGTTGGTAACCACGTGCATTTTGTTGCACTCGACAAGGGGACATTCATTGTGGGCAAATGATACTACCTGAGAGCTCGAAACTCACTAGGCGAAGGAGGATTCAGCACTGAAATACACTGGCTGACGAGTTTAGTGTCTAACTAAATGAACTACAGAAGCACTTATTAAATCTTACTTACCTAGGACCAATATAGGCGTGTAGCACTTACTTAGAACAAGTAGAAATTCCATATACTACGAGACGTTTTCCTCTTATGCGCTCCCAACAGGAGTGCTGGGAATTTTAAGCCAGTGGTCATTATAACATTTAATAACGAAAGGTCATTTAGTACAGACGAGCTACATCAGTAGAAAGCATCATTCTTTAGTCATCAGATTCCAACAGATTATTCGTAATAACACAGAAGAGTTTCAAAAGGTTAGCCTTTAACGAATTTGTTAAAATAGACCAAGACAAGAACTGAGATAGTCTACCAACCAATGACTGGAAATAGCTATTGAGGCTGGCAAAGTCGGCTGCCTTAGTTAACGAAGTCTGTGTTCTCCAAGAAATCCTGTCCATTAACAGACTTGTGAAGATAAACATTGCCCTGATTATTATGAAATAGATGTGAAGAAAAGTAGGAAGCCCTTAAACACAAATGAATTTACCGAAGCAAATATTTTTGAGTAGCATGCAGACGTTAGAAAACTGCCAATATAAGTAGTCAACCAAAAACTAAAGAAATTTGAGAATCTTTACAATTTAAACCCAAATTTGGACACAATTTTTATCAAGAATGATATAAACCAAAAATAACACCGTTTTTTGACAAAAATAATTCATAATAAATACTTATAACTTACTTCTCACTTGGACGATTTTTATTAAGAGCTTTGGAGATATTTGGGACAAACTTCCTTTTCGATACATTTTCACTGTTACTAAAAATATAAATGAAGATATATGCATGTACCTTGAAATCGCTAAGCTTGATATGTTATTGGGTTTCATCGGGAAAGCCAGATGACATTCCTCCACGCTAAGGTAAAGTACCGCAACTACTGAAAAGTGAACCTACAGTTATCAATAATTCAATTGGTTTAAGAGGAGCTTACAATAGTCTGTTAGGTCATTGACTTCCTCTCCTTAAAATAGTGAGACATTTCCAGGGTCTTTGATGAATTTTGATAAATTTTATCTGTGTAGTCGCCTGAAGTTACCTGATGTTTGCAGTGATGGAACGGATGTCGGTTAACCTGGAGAGGAAAAGTATGCTCCGTTCCATAAATATATCGTTGATGGGTCAACGGCTTTTGCATCATGAAACAACACCCCAAAAACCTGGAATGAATCTGGATGGTTTAAGGGATTACGACGAAATAGGGATAAACCGAGAGGAAATAAGTAGGACTATGGTAGTACGAAAACGAAAATATCTAAGAAAAGGTAAAAGGGTAGGGATGCTAAAGAAATTAAAAATTATATAGACGAAAAGCTTTAGGGTAATGTGCTCTTTGTTTTATATCATCCCTCCAGTTGGTATTCGCAGTCCGTGGGAATTTTTATTTATCCAGACTTTAATATGTTAACTAAGTGGAAGAGGATCATAGACAAATTTGTGTCGTTAAATTCATATCGGAGGTTGGGATGCCTAATAGAGGATGTCAGAAGTTTTCAAAATTCTCAGTCGCCGGTATGCATTATATATCAACGTAGGTTGTCGGTGTGTTATAATCATGCTTAGAATTAGCTATAGGGGGCTGTGATGAAAGTCATCCTTGTATGCAACCGACTATCGGTGTATATTCAGCAGATAATAAATAACAAAGAAAGACATTTGGCACAATTTCAGCTCTCTTACTGCCGTCAACTACGTAGGAAGCATTGCCAGCCCAAGTCTGTAATGGGATACAACACCCATCAGTCAAATAAGCAACGGAAGTTGACTGTTTAGAAGACTTTTACTTAAGTGACAATTTTCGAGGATGTAGAGGCTCGTAAAGACGGAATATTTTGTTATCTTTTAACACTTAATCAGCCTTACCTGCCTACTAGTAGCCATTTAACCAGCAGCAAATCTGACATATAAGTAGTAATACTAAGCACTAAGAGGTTGGGCTGTTAAGGCACATGGGCAATATATTTTTATGACGGTAGTTAAGACTCGCTTCAGTAAAAATTTTATCAACCTATTTGACTGTCAATAACCGGCCTAAAATTGTGAATACAAACTGCGGGAGTAAAGCACAGAAAACATTCCAGAGTCCTTAGGTGAGGGCTTATCAGAATGAAGTCTGAGGAAAACTAAACATTCGAAGGTGACTACGTGGTTTATTTGGCGAATATTTAGTTATTCTAGTTTAACCTACTTATGTGTCAAGCAAAACGGATAACCAGTTGTCCTTTTTGTTAGAAGCCTGCGAATATACCTACAATAGAAGTATCTGCGTTGAGAACCGATGTATCCGTTGAAAAACTTCTGAAAAGCTTCTCTTTTGTTTCCCTAAGTCATTGCTTTATGAGAAGTATCCCAGACAGGATTGGTCACGGTAACCACGAATACTGTGCTGTCTGCCACCGTTTTTGCACAACAACTTGACCATCTTCCCCCTACTACTCAGCCAAGGTGGTCTAGAATTTACATCACATGCCATAGAGAAAATATGTATCAACCGGAAAATATTCACATAAAATTAATGGCCTTAAATGAGATGTATTATTTAAGCAAGGCAAATACAATTCACCATATGTCAACGCATGTATTCTAAACACTACACCAGGCTAATGCCGAATGGTGCATCTATATCTACATCTAAAAATATAATGGCCAATGCCCTGGTTATGAGCAAGATAAGTTTTGTAGCGGTAAATAATTCCCCAAAATTATTAACCACAGCAATCATCACTAAACATTGGATGCTGACCCTCACTATTTAAGTCGGCTTGTTTATCTGAAGGCTTCCGGTCAAGCATCCATGCCATCTGGTACACCGTCGTGTCACACTCGCACCCGATCACTAGCCAGCTAAGCGTTTGTCTCACAATCCGTTTTGGTCCCGAAATATATCTCGAAATTTGGACGACCAATCCCGTTGTTTTGCATTGCCTTTGATACACGATAAACGAATATTATAGAAGTTGTTGGTATAAGATCTTGCGTTAGTATGCTCCACACAGTTCGCGAACGTCAATACCGCCAGCCTCTAAAGTTTTATTAGACCTCACCATTTAGTACTTCACGGGAGCAAAATAGATGATGTGTTAGAATTTTTTGGATTTTCTCACTGTTTTTTGCCTCCTTAGCTGGATGTGTGGCTTTATGGATTTGTTTAATGACCATGTGTAGTCCATCGTATGCGGGTTCCAGCAGGAGACGTACAAAGCCAAGATGAGCTAATATATGGGAAGAAGTGTTAAGGAATGAGTGAAAAAAGTACACTTACTGCCGTCGAAGAGGGGCAGATTTAGCTGAACGCTTTGTTATTGTGAGTCTGCTGACGTACAGGGCGTGATCTAGAGCTGGTAGAAACCTGTGGGGAAAGTAAAACTCACTAGGTATTTGTAGTGTTGTTCCATCTACTAGCCCAGTATTAGTACAGCCTGTGACAGCTTTTAATTCATTTTGAGCCACAAGTAGGACTGAAGGTGATGATTCACCCCAATCTGCAGTGTCTGTGGCTGGCACTCTGTCCCTCATATACCAGCGGAATCATTCCATTGCAGCATTAGCTTGAGGATGGTGGGCTGTTGTTCTAAAGTGCTCGCAGCCTAGGAGTGTAGTCGAAGCTAATAATATGGCCACTTTCGAAGTTTGACTCATGATGAGTGGTCGTAGAGGATGGACATCCAGAATTTGCGATCCATCGCTTCACAAAATCAGTTCAACTGTTTCTTCAGATAAGTCCTTAAGGGACAGTGCATCAACATATAAAGTGAAGTGGCCATTTAGGGTCGGGATACGAGTATATCCTCAAGATTCTCATAGGGGTCTAACCGGACCTGTATGAACATGTTGGAAACGAGCATCAAGAGTTAGAGAAGTACCATCGGGGGTTTCTTGTGCGCTTAACTACTCAACACGAAGCTGACTGGTGCTAAGTTTGCCTTTAGTTTGGCCATTTGGGTGAGATAAGCCAAGTAAAGTACTGGGGAAGTTAGGGAGATGGTTTTTAGCTACTGTAGGTTGAGGAAACTAGATGAAATGTCAGGGGGAAAGTATCCTAACCTGCGTCTAGCGTTTTTTGGTTAACTTCAGGGTTGTTGACGGCACCTGAGGTTAAAGCTTGATATCCTCATCTTGGAGGAGAGACAGTTTTACAGAGCATACACCACCTATTTGAAACGAGGAGCAAGTGAGGGACAAGGTATCCACTACAGTGTTGTTGACTCCGGATACGTGACAAATTGTCATTGAAATGTAATCCAACTGCGTGATTCCCTCAGTCCCCATCTAATTGAAGTTGAGTTTAGAGGGCGCTTGAGTGTCTCGTGATCTGAGGATATTACGAATTCACTACCCCCACTAATTGTCGAAAGAGACATATGGAACAGTATCTAGTCAGAAGTTCACTGCGTTGTGCTTTGTTTCTGCTGCATGTAGGTGCATCGAAAAAGGCAAGTGGTTGACACTTCTAGTTAGAAAACTGCTGCAGGACCGTACTGATAGCATTGTCAGGTGCAACAAATGAACGAAAGCATCCTAAGTGGACCTCTAAGAACCTGTGAGCTTCTTACCTTCTCAACGAAGATCCACTAGTGTCTAAATTAAGGGGGCATAGTTTTGTACAAACCGTCGTAAATAACTTGCCAAGTCAGTAAAAGTGCTAAGATTTTTCACTTTTTGCCTCTGGAAACTTTAAAGTTGCCCCAACTTTACTGATTACTGGGTGAATACCATTGCAGTCAGTGATGCAGACAAGAAAGTTCACTGATTCTACTCCTGTTTGACACTTTTGAATATAAATGGTAACGCAATGCCGGCGTAAACTTTCGAACGCTAGGTTCAAGTATTTAAGGTGTTTCCTTGTTTAGACTCACAATGATGCTGTCGTCTAAGCACGTATATACAAACCCAAGACTGAGAAATACTTTATTAATGAGTCGCCGTATTATTTGTGCTGCATTTTGTGGACCAAATGGCGTACATGGGAATTTAAACACTCCAAAAGACATAATGACAGCTGATTTAGGGACGATTCCTGACGCCATCGGAAAAAGGGCTGTAAGCCTTAACTGAGTCTGTTTTCGAGAAAACAAGATGTCATGCTTTGGAGGCCACGAGTTGATCTGTGACAAACTTCAGCGCCTTGTCGCCGCAATATTTCCAGAGTTTTATCGCCCCGAACATCTGTATCATCGATGATAAATCTTTGCAGTACCTTTAGCACAGTCCGCGCTAGCCATACCAGTTCAGATGAGAATAGTTCCCTGAAGATGTCGTCGTCAAACTTTCATTTCTCGGCTACTTCTCGTATTCGGTAAAGCCATATGTACGGCCTAATTGTACCCTGACTCAAAATTACGGAAGAGTTAATCAAGACCTTGCAAATCCCAGAGTTTGTTACTCTTTCAGAGTAACGATATATTATAAGATAATGAAGTAACGAGTTATATTAATAAAAAGGATTACTTGGATATAAAGTTTAAGCCCTCTGCTACAAATTATTAATATAATCCACGGGAGCGTTCACTGTTGGAATTGCGTTTGCTGGTAGATGCCGTGGACCGGTTGTAGAGTTGTCTTCGGATAAGGATAATAGACTCCTGCAATAAATCCAAAGTATACAACACGGCATGGTTGGAGCAAGTAAGCAGAAACGGCCAGAGCGAAGGCGAAGCTTCCAACAGTACAGTGTATTTCGAACGGTACACGGAAGTTATATATATTTAAACGTGAATCGTTTTAAACGTAAAAATCATGTACAACGTCTCTAATGTCTACAACTAACAGAAAGTGTACAATCGTATTGTTACGTACTCCAAAAGTTTTTACGTGTATTCGTTAAGACTAG